CACACACGTGTGTGTGTGTGCATATATGGACAGGTGTATCCCGGCAAATGAGGCAATTTTGAATAGTCCCACTCTCTCTCTCTCTATCTGACTAGTGTTTGTCTAATGTGGGTCCCGTCATTGCCGCGTTTTTGTTTTTCACACTGAAGAAGAACTTTGAACTTCATTCTTTTTGGCGAGGCTAAACGAACCACATCGATTAAATCAATAGTATGTGTGGTGTGTAAAAGTGCCATTTGCCCAATATAAAAAAATGGAACTGATACTATACTATACTATACTATACTATACTATACTATACTATACTATACTATACTATACTATACTATACTATACTATACTATACTATACTATACTATACTATACTATACTATACTATACTATACTATACTATACTATACTATACTATACTATACTATACTATACTATACTATACTATACTATACTATACTATACTATACTATACTATACTATACTATACTATACTATACTATACTATACTATACTATACTATACTATACTATACTATACTATACTATACTATACTATACTATACTATACTATACTATACTATACTATACTATACTATACTATACTATACTATACTATACTATACTATACTATACTATACTATACTATACTATACTATACTATACTATACTATACTATACTATACTATACTATACTATACTATATTATACTATACTATACTATATACTAAACTAATACTATCGTACACTACACTACACTATACTATGCCACCCTATGTCGTGCATTGCTCAACTGTACTCTACTGCGCTCTACTGTGTTAAACACGATTTTTCGTAGTGCGGGGTCTCTCTGCTCTTGATCTGACTACTCTTCTTTGGCCTTCGTGGCACGAGTGAACCCTGTGGATCAGAGTTTCGGCCAGTGTAGATCGCGGGATCATTGTAGCTTGGGCAGCTATATCAGTCCCGGTGGTCTCTCAAAAGATGATGTTTCCATCCGGATTTGGAAGGTAAGAACAGCTTTTGCGAACCTGCGTCACTTGTGGCGTAGGCGTGACATCAGTTCGTCCATCGGAGGTCGATTTTACAATGCTGCGTTTTATGTATCAGGAACCTGAACAATGCGCGCCGAGGACGTCAAAAGACTATCAGTGTTTGACCGTCGATGTCCTCGGACTATTGCCCGAGTCTGACGGGTACAACGGATATGCAATGCTGAAGTACGTCGAATGGTATTCGGGAGAAATAACTCACCCTCGGTGGATGAACTGATCATAGGTTGCGCTGGCTAGGTCACGTGGTATGTATGTCGGTCGATCGACTTAACAAACGCTTCTTTTTGCACAACCAAGTGAAAGGTGGAAGAGAGCCAGAGGCGGTCAAACAATGACTTAGCAGCAAAGTATGAAAGTCATTATCAGAAAACTCAGTTGCGCTGGTCATTGCTGTCTCCCTGGATGGGGACGGGTCATATCAATGGCTGGAGACATTATCAGCCATAGCTCAGTCGCGCCCTCAATGAGGCTCGTGCATCAAAGCTATTACCTTCAATGCATAACCCCTTTTCAAACCCCCCTCACTTGACAGTTCACTGACAGTGCCGTAGTTACGCACAAATGTATCAGCTGGCTTCCCATGCACAGCTATCTACCCCACCTCCTCGAATCATCGGTGAACGAAACCCTGGCAGCTGCAACCACTGTACGACAAGAACGCCGTTCTTACAGCTGACAATCGTGACTCATGATGTAAAATTTAGCATAGCGCTGTACAGCGGGATAACGTATCTTATGGTGCAGAGTAGTGTGGCATACTAAGGCATAGTACACTGTGGTACTAGAGTATAGTTTGATTTATCTTGATATATTGCAGCGCACATATATATATATATATATATATATATATATAT